TTTGGGGTTTTTTGTAACGTACACCCTGAAGCCACAACTACTTCACACAGGTCACTGTATGAGCCAGTGTGCGAAAATGATAGCTCTATACATCCTCTGCTATCTGAATTCTGTTGATCATTGCAAGGAAATTATTGACTGGTACATATCAATGTGCTGGCCTGACCATCGGTGCTGTGCAATTTTCTGCAATATGATGTTACACTATAAACAAGACAACAGCAGGTGACCTAAAAAACTGGAAACAGCCCATGCAATATAAAGACTCAGCACCAAAATGAACGAATTCTGTAGAATCTGACAGATTATAGGCCCATTCAAACATTCAGTGAAATTACTGTGAGCTGGAGGTCACCTTATGAAATGCAGTGCTTTACTGCTAATACTAGCTATACCCATGAAATTAAATTAAGCACCACACCTATTATTTAGGATTTTCAAAATAAATATTCTACTGTACAAAATGTCCAGTTAAATAAAATAAAATAAATTTAGAAAATCCTCCTTAACCACCTTTTCTTTTTGAAACTCTGCGATTATATGTGTTTTCCCCCAGACAAAGCAATTTTATTTTATTTCTCGCTGTTGCATTCCACAGATTCTATTGATTCTTCTCTCTCACAGTCTCTTTGTGTTTGACTGCAATCACTGTCTTGGGCGTGATAGGAGCAAAAAACCTCAGGAGCTGCAGGAAAGACAGATGGGCCACCAAACAAACCATAGTCCCCAGTGAGCACAGCTGTGACAGAAAAGTGAGAAGTAGTTTATACACTGAAACTTACCAAGCCCTCAAGAATTTAGTGTCACAACAATCAACATTGCCAATCTCTAAGAAAAAAATAAAAATAAAACTCAATGTTCCACTGAATAACCTTGACTTTCTCCTTAACTGTGTACAAATCTGTGGCAGCATGCACACTATTTACCTCCTTTGCTCCACCCCATGCCAGCGTGCATTTATGCTGAAATTCTGAGTTGCCTTCCCCATACATGTTTGAACAAACACAGTTCAAGCAACACTTGAAAAGCCTCCTCTGTTGCACTGTTTACACAGGACTCTAGAAAACTGAGCGACCTTGTGTTAGCTGTAAAATTACTCTGTATATGAGCCACATAGATCTCTGACAAAACAGCTTTGAGTCACATTTTTTTTTACTGTGAAGTTGTGCCATAAGTCACTCTTATTCAGCTGGATTTATGAATCCTGCTCGGGTGCACTGATAACTACCATAAATATTGAATATTACATGTGAAACAAAGCAAAATCCTCCATAATCCTGTTTGCTTTGACCACTATCTGTTAAGCAGGAGATGTTGAGCTCCAGCCATGATTGAATCTGAAAATGGATATCACACACACCTACATCCACTCAGCATGAGAGATACACACAGTCATAAAGGCACATTATTCACAGTCCTGGCTTATGACTTGTCGCCTGTGAAGCTAATGAGTTCTACTGCATATTAGGTTTATCATAGAAACAACAGACCATCTTTTATAACTTGTAGAAGACTCAAGAGTCTGGAGACCAAAGTGATCTATTGTTGTTCATATTGTCTCATGTCCAGACCTTTAAACAAACAAATAAATAAATATATAAATACCAGTTGCTTGTTAAACTATAGGACATCAATTTAAGGTCAAGCGCTTTTACATTTATCCAGTTTATCGATGGGTTGTTAAACTTTGATGACTCTGCTGAAGTGTTTCGAAGAACATTACAACTAAAGATTCACATGCACCTGATTTGTTCGGCTGAAAGATCATAATCAATCAAATAACTTCCAGAGGGTTTGAGATTCATCATTGCATAAGAGAAAATTACAAGGCCAAAGAGTTTTTCTTGGACGAGAGAGAGAGAAAGAAAACACACTCACCTTGAGCTACAGATGGACACGATCGGTGAACAGATGTTTAACTACAGGAAAGGCCACAGCCGGAGAAGAGATAGTCAATTTAGAGCCCCAACCAAACAGCCTGGCTACTCTACTATGACAAGTACACACATGCACCATCCAGCCGCGCTGAAAAGCATCAGTCTCTCCACCGCTGTATGGAGGAGGGAGATGAGAGGCGACTGACTGAGGCCAACTCCAATTAAACTGCAAAGCAAAGCTCGGCGTCAACTTAAAGGGGCGGCGTTTCTATCACTGACATGTTTCCGTGACGCATAGACGTGTAGAGGAGGTCCCCAAAGCGCAAGGACACAGTGTAGAAGTCTTCATATTTTACATGCAGTCCTGTTAATTAATGCGTTATAGTGGATCTTAGAGGATAAATATCTCATTTGACTTATTTTATTTTATTTTATTTGACTATTCACATTAGTAAATATCACAAAAATGGTTAAATAACTGTTATTAGAAGCGATAAATGAAGTTCAAACGACAAAAGTTAGCATATACCGCCACCTACTGGATACACTGCTGAATCACATCTGTGCTGTTAAACAGTCAAAGCGTCTGCAAACAGATTAAAATGCAAACATACAACAGTTGAGTAAATAGGTACGTTTTTCTATACATTTAAGTCATTTCACGTGATTTAAGTATAGACTTATTGCATAATTATGACAGCAGACAGAAACAGAACTCAACAAAAGCCATATAATTTTTATTTCCATCCCTTCGACAAACTGATATTGTCTCCATTATTAAACAGCAAACTGTGCATGTCTACTTTGCTTTGTGAGCCATTATTCTTTTTCAGTGAAAGTCTGAATGAGACGCTGTTGTATCAGTGAAGGCTGCAGGCTTGCACCTCAAGGACATACTGTCATAAAAAAAATCATTTCACACAAGTCAGCCTGACTGCAACAGATTTTGTGCAAAAGAGCCTTTTTTTTCCCTTTCACAGTGGCACGCTGGAAGGTTACTGCGGCACCTATAATACACAGAGTTGGATTCCATAACACAGGCAGCACAATGCTCTGTGCTGCACTCTGTGTTACATTTGCTGGAAAAATCAGCCTCGTATTTTTCTCTCTCTCTCTCTGTAAAATTGGAAAGGTTACAGGGAAGACTAAAGTATTCATCTGTGCAGCATTATGAATCTGGTACAGCTGAATTGCTTCTGTGTGCACTGTGCAGGCTGGCTGAACTCACTGAAGTGAGCTTTGAAGGCTGTTGCTTTTATTTTACTTGATACAATTAGCCACAGCTTGTAAGAGACCAGTACTGTAAAATAAATCCTGAGCTCTAATGCAAATGAAATGTGTGAAAGTAAAGAGCAAATTAACAATGCTTCCGACATGGATGAAACACTTACTGTGCTCGCAGTAATATGTTTATTCTAATTAGCTTCAGTCTGAAAGAAAAACAAATTGCAGTCTTATACAATTACAGAGAAACTTTAAATGTGACTATAGTCATATGAGGGATTGCACAAAATAGGCTGTATTCCTCATGGTCAGTCCATGAAAGTCCATTTTTAGTTGTGCCAAGAAGTCTTTAATGTGGGTGTTATGTAACAATAACCTATATTGAAACCTGTGATAAATTGCTCTATAGGTGCAATAATGCTTCTGAAAAACTGTCCACTGCATCTTTGGTTATGAAAAGTCACACTTAAGTAATGTTAAATACATGCAGTCATTTAAATTTTAATACTAAGTTACTTTCAGGATTCAGGTTATTAGAACTGCTATTGCTTTACTGAGATATTACAATTATGTTTATAAGGCCATATGGGAGCTGCAGTGGTTAGTACTGTTGCCTCACAGCACAAAGGCCCTGGGTTTCAATCCACCAGCTGGACAGGGCCTTCCTGTGTGGAGTTTGTATGCTCTCCCCATCCTCAGGCTTCCTCCCACAGTCCAAAAACGTGTATGTGGTTAGGTTAATTGGCTGTAGGTGTAAATGTGAGAGTGGTAAACTGTCCAGGGTGTACCATGCCATTTCTCCTCTGACAGCTGGGAACAACTCTATCCATCCTTGCAATTCTGAATTGGGTAAGTGGGAAAAATGGCTGGATGGAAGGTCATCCATGGATGTAGTAGCAGTTAATCCCATAGAAGTTGTGTTTTTTCCCACAGACTACGTTGTCTCTAAGGTTCACAGCGGCATGAGTGATGGAGCTGTTGAACTTGCGATGAGCCTCTGACTTGCTGAATGAATGTTGAAGGTCTAATAGGGTCAGGGCTGCACCTGATTTACCCACAGTCCCAATGGAAGAACTGCCTGGCAGGACAGGAGAGCGTGGCATGATGCACGGATTAGAGTTGCCATGTAGCCGCTCTCTGTCCTCTGCTCCTGGTAACAATTTGGGATGTGATTCCCTGCCCGTCTGATCTTTGTCTTCAAGTAGTGGACTACAGCTGGGTATATTTCTTCCAACTTTAAAAAGTTTTTTGTCATTTAGCACATCCTTTACACAGATGCTTTCCTCTCTGTTGACTTCTATCCCTCCTTGGGGATGTAGGCGGTTGGACAGGTCCCAGAGTTGCTCTGTGTTTGTGATCTGGGCAGCGTTAGCCTCTTGGTTGCTCTGTGACGGGGATCCTTGCATGACATTGTCAAACTGGACTTTGCAGTTTTCCCTCTTTCTGCCCTTATGCGCAGAGCATTTGCACTGAGCTTGCTGCTTGCGTAAGACCTCCTGGGACAGCTCAGTCTGCTGTGCCTTTGTGGAGTTAGTGCTGCACTTTGATTGAGTATGACCCATTTGGTTCAGATCTGGTGCCTCATTACGCATAGCTGTGATCTCTTGTGGTTGGTTCACAGCAGGCGAGGCAGTGCTTTGGTTTAGAGTTGGAGATGTATTTTGGAGTTCAGCAGCAGTGGGACTGCAGCTGCTCCTCCTGACATTGCTCCCCAGTCTTTTTCTACATCCTTGCCTTGCTTTAGAAGGAACAAACACAGGATGCGACCTTTCTTGCTGCAGGGAAAATAATTAGACTTATTAGTGTTCTGGTCTGTTAATGCTACCGTTACCGTATAATAAATGCAATGGCTTTTACCAGGTTTGACGTGTGTGAATTAATCCCAGCAAAGTTAGTCATTTTTTCCTTGAAATCATCTGTCATAAAAGGATTTGCTGGCCCTGATCCTTAAAAAAGAATTCACATTAATGTCAGATTTTGGATTACTGCACAAAATACAATAACAACTGATTGATCATCAGTAAGTGTGAGAACCTCTGCGAGTCCTGTCAGTTTGCTGGTCTGGAGCATTCAGGTGTGTGTTTCTCAGTGAGAAAAGACATCAACAATGATCTCAGAGAAACAGAAAGATTGAACAAGTATGAAAGCCTCATCTCTCTAAAAAGAACACATCAAACCAACTGTTGGGTCCAGTGGTGGAAGGCTGCTGATTTGGACCTCAACCTAATTGAAATGCTGTGGCATGACATTAAGAGAGCTGTGTATAAACGAAATTTCAAAAATCTCAGATTAACTGATGCAACATTGTAAAGAAGACTTGGCCAAGATTCCTCTACAATGATGCGAGAGATAAAATCATAAAGAAATGATTACTTCAAGGTACTGTTGCTAAAAGGTGCTTGACCAGATACTGAATCACAGGGTGTACTTAGTTTTTCCCCTCATTGCTTCTGCATTTTGGCTTTTTTTTGGTTAAATATATAATAGCACGGTGTAATATTTCATGTGCTGTATGTGAATAATTTAGAACCTGCTAAATACAAGATACAAAGATTTTTCATCAATTCAATTCAATTCAATTTTATTTATATAGCGCCAAATCACAACAGTTACCTCAAGGTGCTTTTTATTGCACAGTAGATCGTACAATAATAGATACAGAGAAAAACCCAACAATCATATGACCCCCTATGAGCAAGCACTTAGGCGACAGTGGGAAGGAAAAACTCCCTTTTAACAGGAAGAAACCTCCGGCAGAACCAGGGTCAGGGAGGGGCGGCCATCTGCTGCGACCGGTTGGGGTGAGAGAAAGAAGACAGGATAAAGACATGCTGTGGAAGAGAGACAGAGGTTAATAACAGATATGATTCAATGCAGAGAGGTCTGTTAATACATAGTGAGTGAGAAAGGTGACTGGAAAGGAAAAACTCAATGCATCATGGGAATCCCCCGGCAGCCTACGTCTCTTGCAGCATAACTAAGGGAGGATTCAGGGTCACCTGGTCCAGCCCTAACTATATGCTTTAGCAAAAAGGAAAGTTTTAAGCCTAATCTTGAAAGTAGAGATAGTGTCTGTCTCCCGAATCCAAACTGGAAGCTGGTTCCACAGAAGAGGGGCCTGAAAACTGAAGGCTCTGCCTCCCATTCTACTTTTAAATACTCTAGGAACAACAAGTAGGCCTGCAGAGCGAAAGCGAAGTGCTCTAATAGGGTGATATGGTACTACAAGGTCATTAAGATATGTCCTGATAGATAAAACTGATGAACTGAATACTTTTGATACTTTCTGTTTAACAAGGATTTATTTTTTCAGTATTTTCACTTCTTACCTGTGTAGTGCATTTGGTAGGAAGTGACCCAAAGGGTCTTCTCCATGTTTTTCAGGATGTTGCTTGTCCTCTCCGATAGCGTCAAATCCCAGTCTCGAAGTTTCAGGTTGGGCAGCAGCATCTTTGGGGGAGTGGGGTAGAAAACCTGGCTCTCTCCCTTCGCTGGTTTTGCATGCTGGTGGAAGGAGGAAGACACTTTATGCTTTGATTAACGTCAGTGAAACTGTGAAGTCACTGATATTTCATCACTCACGTCAAAAAAGCCATGTTCTCCTGTCCACATAACAGCCTTCTTCCTTGTTTTCAGTGGTGTTTCTAAGCTCTCAAGTCTATATGGAGCACCTAGGTGTGAAAAAAGAAGCATCTTAAAGACCTAACCATTCTACCACTCCCTTTTATCAGAATATCACACCTTTAGTTTTGCTTAGCAGAGTGATATCAGGTGCACTATTTGGGATACTGAGGTTGAGGAAAGATTGAGACGCAGCTCTGACTCCTGTATGTGGGTCATCTGGTGAGTGGAAGGATGGGAACATTGCAAAACGAGAGATGTGCGATGAATAGGGATGCTCTTTTGGGATGGCAATCTTTATCATTTTCTCCCTATGAAAGGCACAAAGACAAGAAAGGGTCGAACTATGTGCAAAAACAAATCAGTTTATCATTATGGAAAGAGTACTCACGCTATATTTATGTCCGTTGGTTTTGGTATTCTGGTAAAAAAAAACACACAAAAAAAACCCACCATCACTGTTATTATGTATCACCACAAACACAGGAAGAGGAAGTTTTTGATTATAATATTTATATAAAATCAGCAGCTACTTACAGTTGGTCATTAAGTCGAACATGACTTTTGTTTCTGCCATCACTGCTGTTACAGCGTTGATTGGTGATACTCCTGTGAAGGTGAAATAATTATATAATTATACTACATTTGATATATTACATTATAAATTCTAAGACTGTCTCATAATGAAGCCAGCATCACACTCACCCAGGTATGGTTCCTCCATAACCGCAGGGATAATGTCTATTTAAATCAGCCCTGAATCCACTGGTGAGTGAAGGCTCCATGTGGCTGCTGAAGACCTGACTCATAATCAGTGAATGTGAAGGAAGGATAAAGCCCTAAAAACCCCCACTAGTATAGAAGGACAAAGAGGCGATGTTTGTAATTGCACACAAGTTTAGCTTGAGACACAGTACTTAACAAATTTATTAGACCATCTGTCATAAAAGCAAGAAAACACACATATTTTAGAAAAAAATGTAAAAGTTTTTTTTTTTTGTTTTTTTTTTTTTTACAAAAAATTATGTTGTTGCTTATTCGGAAAATCTAATGTTTCACTTCTCTGGATAGTCAGAAAGCATAGACAAGACAATTTAGCAAAGAATCTATTACTTAATTGCATCTTTAGGCACTTTATTGCTAGTAGCTATCATTTGTTTCTATGTCTTTAGATGAATCTATGAAAAATGCCAGCAGTAACACTAGGGGATCCCCCCACCCACAAAAAAAAAAAAAAAATCTACATGAGATGAACAGGATCTGCAAGTTATGTCCTTAAGCAAAAGGGAAAAAATCCATGAAAGTCCTGAAACAGGACCCGAGAGATGCATCTGGCCTTTCGGTTGATCTGTTTACTGAAGAAGGCTGAGGTACGGCAAATTCTACAATAACTCCCCTGAAAAAGTGGCAGCAGGTCTTATGGAGTGATAATTTCCAGCCATCTGCAAACCATGGGACAAAAAGTAGCTAACATCCAAAGAAAGGCTTTGAATCTCAAAGAAGCCTGGACAGCTACTTAAAGAAATAAAAATATCATTGGATCTATTTCCCATTTTCATAGAAAAACATGAAGTGAGGGGCGGCCTAAGACCTTTGTGCAGTATTTTATATATACAGCGACTAATCTTCTAGAGTATACTTGCTGTTTAATCATTAATTAATATAAATTACTATTTCGTAATATTAACTTACCTGGACAGTGGTATAAATGAAGTCCAGAGGAGTTCCGAGTATCTGTCTGTGATAAACACACAAATGTCTTGTTTCAAATAAAGGTGAACATTTTAAAGCCTTTTTTTTGACTGAACAGGAGGATCTCCTCTTTGCTTTTGACCAAAGAGGTGGGTTTGAATTCCTGGGACAGGCAGAGTGACAGTGTTACAAACAATAGGGTCAGAGTGAGCGACACCCAATCCAGCCCACTGTGTGTAGTACTGATGTCACTTAAAAGCAACTGTAAAACTAACCTAACTAAACACTGACTACTCTAAGACCAGTGCAATATAATTTTTACAGTTCTTTAAGCGTTATTGTTCAAAAATCAAGTCTCGGCTGATTTACTAATATTACTTACAATCACTGCTGAGAACGCCCATCATTCAGTCATCCAGTGTGGATCTGATAATATTACGCATTCACAGCTCAGTGAATGGGTGCAAAGAAAATGAAGCTGGCTCTGACTAGCACACACCGACACCAGATACAAGCTGTGCGACTGGTGTTGGGTTGCAGGAGTCGTATTTCATTCCTGCGCAACACAAGGACTGAAATAGATCCAGATTATGTGCATTAGTGAATGCCCCCAAACTGTCCATCAAATGTAAGTGTTGGCATGCCAAAAAGTAACACGTGTGGGGCGTCGTTTGTAAAGTGAAACATGCTGAAATTAACAGCAACATTTTTCCACATTTAGCTCAAAACCTTACAAAAACATGATTTTTCCCGAGTCATTTTTTACAACATTTAGTAAAATGTTTGTAACTTTTCATATTTAAAACACAATTTTAAAAGTTAAATCTAAATGTTATATTTAAATCTAAATGTTACAGGAAACCAAATATTTAGTTTCCTGTTTTCACTTTCCATGTTTCACTTTACAAACTGCGCCTCATAGTTTCTTGTATTTTTTTTTTTTATTTATTTATTTATTTTTTAAGTTTTATTGAGTGATAGTGCTTTGGAGAAAACCTCTAAAGTTCTTTCAAAATTTTTCTTTGGACATTAGCTGCTTTTTCACTTACTTTTAGTCCAGTCCTTGTACCTGATTGTTTTCAGAGGAATGTCTAATTGTTAAATTAAGCCATTAAACACAGACCTATTCAGTCACTGAGGGGATTAACCAGTGTTATGTCTACACATAACAGGCAACAGTATCTGAATCTCATGTCCTTAAGGAATAGGAAAAAAAATATCCAGCAAAGACTCAGGCAGGATCTGAGTGATGCATTTGGCCCTTGATCCACCTACTGTTCACTAGGTTCAACTACTGTCTCATAAGAAATGGGCTCAGTGGAAGGGAGGCTGTCATTAAGCTTTCTTAAGGAAAGGCTCAGGTATGTCAGATTACACAAGAACTGCACAGAAAATTTGTGTCAACCAGTTTGATGGTTAGATGGATCAAGATTTGATTCAAGTTCAAATTGTCATCAATATGTACAGAGGAGATCAGGAGAGCGATACCACAGTGACTGTGTACAAAACACAGTGGAGGCTCCATCATGGTTTGGGGAAATATTTCAGGAAGTGTTGTTGGGGACTTGATGGAATTGATGGAATTATGAACACAGAAAAGTACAGACAGATTTTCATCCACTATGCAACAGCTTCTTTTTTCAATATGACAATGATGCCAAACACACTGTTAATGCAATAAAAGCATACCTGGATGGAATAACACACAATTAAACTGTGAGTCATGGAATGGCCTCCCCAGCGCTCAGACCTCAACATTATTGAAGCAGTGTGGGATCATTTTGACAGAGAACAAAACAAAAAAGCAGCCAACATCCAAGAGGAGCTTTGAATGTCCTTCAAGAAGCCTGGGGAACTATTTCTGAAGACTTTAAAGAAATGACATGAAACTTTGCCTAAGAGAGTCCAGGCTGTGTTTGGATTATACCAAATATTGACTGCCAGCCTTGTTAGAATTGCACACACTGCTGTTTTACCATATACGTGGTATTTCCTTGTAAATTCCTGCACTTACTTCCTGTTAAAGAAATAAAGGTGATTGAAAAACTTTTATTCCTGCTGAGCCAGCTCTTTCATGTGTAATGATAGCAAATTGATATAATCCTTCAATTTTCCTTTTCACACTTGTCCCCAAAACAATTACATTCGTTTTTAATTTGAAAACAAGATTTATGATGTTAAACCCCCTGAAAATGTTTCTTTATTATGTAACATAAAATATTTATGGCTAAATAAGTAACAACAAAACATAGGCATATTACATTTAAAGCTGCTGTGATATGCTCTGCCTTTATGCACAGTGACCAAAAGGCCACTACGGCATTAGATTCCCATTCAGATGTTACTGGATCCAGATTTGCTTAATATGTGAAAATTATGGGAGAGACCTTTCCAGACCAGACCAACTCTCAAATAAAACAACAAAAATGGTTTGAACCACTGCAAACACTCTATTATTCATGCAGGGTCTTTTTTATGCCTAGTAGTAAGAAGTTTATTGAAGACACACTAAATCCAGAAACCTGAAAATTGCATTAAAATACCAGTTTTTCAATCAATGCGTGCGGCTGCCTTTTATTGAACGCGATTTGGACTGCTTTCCAAGCAGCAAACCTTGTTTGTTAACTCACAAGACCCATTCTGCATTCTGCTTTTTAATTGGGATTCTCAAGAGACCTTGTCCAAAGTCTCAGCAAAACATGCAAGTCCTATCAAGCAGCATAAGCTAAGTCCAGTAACCAATTACCCTGCTCTGGCCCAGCAGAGCTGCCGCTCTCTCTCCGGATTATAGTTCCCGCTGCTGCATTATAAATGTGCAGCTGCAGTGCTTTCCCTAATATTAGGTTATTGTGCAGATGGAAGTTGACAGTTAGTGGATGATTTGCAACAACAACAGGAAACCAGCCTTATCTGTAGCTCTCATGCCAAAAACTTCAGACACATTGTGAAAAATTAGCTCACCACTGTCATCATGTGACATTTGTTGATAAGATAAG